ACGTACAAGGCCAGCCACGTGGATGACAGGTTGAGCGCTGGCTGCCCCCATCCCCGTGTGTCACAAGGACCCACTTGCACGCAGCCAAAAGGCAAAGAGGTAAAGAAGGGGAGGAGGAAACCAAACCTGACAGGGAAAGAAAGATAGGGAAAGAAAGATATATATATATATATATTTGTTCTTGTCATTCCTCCTTTTCTCGTTTCTTTCCCTTTATTTTTTTCCCCGTTGCTGGGGTATTTCGTTTTGCGGGCCTGCTGTCTGGTTCCGTTTTTGGACTATGGATATGATAGATCTGTTGTGGTATTTAAGAAAACGTTAGAGAAAGGACAAGGGAAGGAAGGCGTATTAGTCAAACAAAGTAAATGACACATCCCATTTTCTATGTATTTTTTCCCCGTTGTTGGGGTATTTTGTTGTGTTGTGGTAATCTTGTCTGCATCCCGGTTGGTTTTGTCCCGTTATTCGGTCTATTCAGTCAGCAGGTAGCGGTGCTTCATGTGGGACCAGTCATCCGGTTTTTTTTTATTTATTATTATTGTCTTGGCATCCTGGTTGGTTGTTTCCCGTTGTTCGGCCTTTTGGAAAGCGGTGCGGTGCTTGCATGTGGGAATCGTCATCCAGGGATTGTTTTTTATACCTGTCCTCCGGGTTCTTTTTCATTTTTTTTTTCACAGACAAGAATGGTTGACATCCTGGTTGGTCTTGTCCCGTCGTTTGGCCTGTGTGTGTGGTTGGGGCGGTGCTTGCACGTGGGACTTTGTCATCTGGGATCTGTTTTGTTGCCCCCTATTCTATATTATTTGGCTGTTCCCTTCCTCTTTTCTTTGCCTCTTTCCCTTTTGGCTGTGTGCAAGTGGGTCGATATGACACACGGGGGTGGGGGCAGCCGCCGCTCAACCTACATCCACGTGGGCGGCCTTGTACGCAAGAGGTTCTGAACAGGGGGGGTTGTAAGGAAGAAGATTAAAAACGAATTCAGTTTTTCTTGTTTTCCTCGTTTTCTTTCTGTTTTTCGCTTTGGCGCTCTCTGATATTATGTGACAATATATAGCTTATACTATAGGTATCAGTATCGAGTCCGCGCGCACATCCTGCGCACATCGGATGTGCCTCATGCAGCAACTTCCATCGTGATAATAATCGGCACATCGGATGTCCCCTGCCATAGAAAGAATTGGCAATGACAATATAATACTGTAATAATTAACCAGAAAAAGAAAGGATGGGCATAACCCGTCGTGATAATTCCATCCCCACGGGGGAGAGAAGGGGGGGGGGGGGGGGGGGGGTTGGAAGTCACAATACCTGAAATGAGTTTCGGCGCCCGCGGCGTCAGCCGGCATGCCCACGTGTCCAGCGTGAAGGTGCGACTGGTCCTCCACGAGTAAGCGTACCGGTCGCAGCGTGTCCGTCAGCTTCTGCACTATCGCGCTGTACACGGGCCGCCTGGCTACACCAGCCAAAGTCCTGGCAGCCATATCCGTTCCTGCCGGTAGCTCAACGCCGCCGTCAGTCACACCGCGGTCGGCGTCGCTCGACACGTCTACAGACATGGAACTGTGCTCCTTCTCCAATACCATAGACACACTCACAAGTTTTCACACCGGGAATCGACCTTGCTACGTGCAGCGGGAAATGCTGTAATGGTGGTGGCCCCTGGAAACTTACGAGGCCCCACTGCGGGAAATCGGATTGCACCAACGGGCCCAGCTCAGTGGGTACCAACGGGCCCATGAACTGCAGAAATGTTTTCGTTCCCTACCACTGGCAGTGGAGGTTTTGTTCCTGCTGCCGGTACTATGTGACAGCGCGCCATGGAGCGTGGCAGATGAGTGGCAGTAAGCGGGGAAGAAAATTTAAAAACACGACAGAGAGATGCAGAGAGTCCGTAATGATGAGACAGACTGAAAACGAGCCATATTGACAGTGGTTGGGAACCTGTGGGGCTTTGCCACTGAAGGAAATGAGCTTACCACAGTGGAAAGAGCAGGGATTAAAAATGGGACTGCTGGTCCTCCTTTGTAGCCCGATGTGGGTTGGGCTACAGGTGAGGACCACTCCACACCTGTGAGCAAAAATGTGGCGAATTGTTTGGCCAATGGAAAACCGCCGCCCTCAGCTCAACTTGCTTCACCAAAAAACATGCCCGCCTACGCACCCTTGCTCCTCGCCAGTGGCGAGAAAAGATGTCGCACACAACCAAGGTCCCCTACCCCGGAACAAAACCTCAGCTAGTGGGATTTGGCCCCGGCTTACTGGGAACTGGGTCCAGTGTCCCATATCTCCCAATTCCTCAGAAGATCCCAAACCGGTGTAGCACTCCGAATGCCCCAGCCACTCTCCTCAGCTAATGAGTGTTGTTGACACATCCATCCCCCTGTAGGCCAGGAAGACAGCAGAAGGGACAACCAACAAGGATCGTATCATGCAAAGCATGTTGGACGTCATCCGGGAGTTGGAGGAGGTGTCGGCTCCTCAGCTGGATGCGTTCATTGATTGGCGACAAGCGGATACCCTGATGCGGCGCTGCTACAATATTTGATGAAGGGTGTGATCTGTGCGCAGCTTTGGAGGCGAGTTTGTGCGAACAAGGCCAACTGCCCCTTGAGGAGGGTTACATGCAGGGAGGGGCTGAAGAACGGCAGCTTCTTCCAGCCTCTCCACAGAATGGCGGCGGCTTATGATGGGTGGGTGATTGGTTGCCGGCCAGTGATAACAGTGGAAACACCACAAACAACAACAACAACACTGAAGACTGGATCAAAGACTCGAACAACGACAATAATGCCATCAACGACAATGGCTACACCAACAACAACAACAGGAGAAACGATAATAACCACGACACTTGCAAGATCGGCATCATTAACAACGACATCGGGAGCGAGGGCGGCTGCTTCGATGACACTTGTGGTGCTGGCGAATTTGCGTCGCTAGTGGGCACACGAGTTTTGTCGCGGGTGGGGGTGGGGTGGGGGGGGACTGGATTCCATCTGTCAAGGGTTAGCAGGTTCCCCAACCCTAATTGCTTGCTCGATCGCATGAGTGATTCTTTTGATAGTTGTGTTCTATTGATTGAGCAAGAGTACCTGGTTTGGGGTTGATTAGGGTTTCTGGTGTTGCTGTTTGCTGATTGGGATGGCTGATAGGGATTCTGACGAACATATACAAATAGTATTGGATGCATGGTATGCCATATCCACACATCACTGTAAAGGGATGCTGGACCCGATTTCCAGCTGATACACATCACATCATTGTACAGGGACGCTGGACCCGATTTCCAACAATAGATGGAGCCTTCGACGCTGGGGCCTACTTATCGAGGCTGCTCTTATCACCTCGTTAAGTAGGTTTTCCCTCATACGAAGTTAAAAAAAAAAGAAAAAAGGATCATAACCACAACAAGCTACCTAACCTCAAGGAGGGGCGTTGTCTTGGCAGGTATTGATGCTTAGATCCTGTTCCTTGTAGTCCTTCAATGCTTGGTGCTTACCATCATGCATAACCATTTCCACAGGACTGCAGTTATGTTGTTGCCTGAGGATGTGGTACACTCCCAACTCGGAAGTGTACAGGTGCATTGGAATAGTACTACAGTTCTGAAGCACCTAGTAAATCCAGTGGCACTTTGTCGCATCCACGATGAGTGCTGCAACCATAACTCCTTTAAATCTAGCTGCAGGTCCAACTATGCCATGGTGGTTGGCATTCAGCCCCACCCTGCATTCTGCAAGTTAGGGTAGAAAAGAGAATTTTCCTTCGTTATCGAAGTGCACGAGGATAACCTGCTCAAAAGTGGGTTCCACCACCCACACTCGGAAATTTGGGACATTAGTGCTATCCACTGCCAAAAATCTGCAGAAGAGTGGAGCCAGGGCTAGATCAACAAATCTATACCATATGTCAGGCAAGGAAGTAATATCCACAGAGAGAGAAGTTTCATCGAACGCGCTGGTATCACAAAGATGATTGTCTAGAGTTTGCAACCTGCCTTCCTCAGAGAGGGAACTTTGCGCCTCAAGCCAGAGCCCAATAGCCAACCAAAATTATCAGGTTGCCTGAATATCCTTCACTCTATGATTCTCTTCTCCATTTATCGTCTGCCAAAGTTCTATGGCACATATTGTGCAGAGAGGGATAGACAGTCTATGTCCAATATTTTAGGGTTCTCAAACATAATTTCATTCAATACCTCCGTTTTTGAAGTAGGCTCGCTTCACTGATCAAGTGAGAGCTTATCAAGTGAGAGCTTCTTCCAAGCAAATAGCAACCCTCTCCAGAGCGCAGACTTGGATAATCTATATATAAAGGACTTGTATGTGAGACACGACAAAAAATTTAATGGATTCACTACACTTCGCTCCTTAGTTAGAATATTTTATCCCAATTGAATCCGCAACGTCATATCAGTTTCCATAAATGTCCATATGGCCCAACGTGCGAGATTTATCAATTTAAAATCAGTGATCCCTACCTTTTAGAGACCACCATATTCTTCCTTCGCATCTAGCTTCCACATAAGTTTTCTTGCCCTGGCCTTAATGCATGCATATGCCTCATCGCCAAGCAGATCTCGCCCTCCACATATTGTTAAGATGTGGTGTCATTTTCGGTGAATTTTTCACCGAAACTGCCATATTTCCCCGAATTGGTGTTTTTCTGTTTTTTTTTTTTTTTTTTTCTGTGATATGTATGTGCTTTAGGGTATATTTGTATTCAATTTCGATGCATTCGGACCGCTAACAAAAATGTTGGTAAAAACATCAAATTCAGAAAACAAATTGGCGAAGTCTGAACGCTACTCCGAATAGGGTTTTACAATGTTTTTTAGTTTTTTTTTTTTTTTTTTTTTNTTTTTTTTGCCTTTTTTTTTTTTTTTTATGTTTGAATTATGAGTCTGCATTGTTGTTTCTTGTTTGTTTTTTTGTGTGATATGTACGTGCTTTAGGGTATATCTGTATTCAGTTTCGATGCATTTGGACCGCTAATAAAAATGTTGGCAAAAACACAAAATTCGAAAAACAAATTGGCGAACTCTTAAAGCTACTCCAAATAAGGTTTTACAATGCTTTTTATTTTATTTTTTTTTATTTTCATTTTTTTGCCTGTTTTGTTTTTTTAATGTTTGTATTACGAGCCTGCATTGTTTGTTCGCTAATTGTTTTACGACATTGCTTGTGGTTGTGCGCTGGAAAACACCGAGTTTTTTATCTTCCATCAACTCTCTCACCCTTCCCTATATTCGCAGAAGAGCTAGATTTGTCAGTTTAGGATCGGGGGATCCCTATCCCCCACTCTAGTTGGGGAAAGGCAACAGTGTCTCAGGCCACCTTGTTCAGACCACCCTATTCTTCCTTTTATGTATAGCTTCCATATAAGCTTTCTTATTCTGACCTCAATGCACGCATATGCCTTATCGCCAAGCAAATCACTTCTGAGCTTGATCACATACCACGCACGCGAGGGGGGACTCGGAGGCTGCAACAACTATCAACAATACCCTCCTGTGTAACGATGTTTTTTCTTCCAACAGTTGATCCCAGTAATCTGCACAATTAGACATAGGAATTTAAGTCTCCGATAAGTGCTTTAAGAGTCTTCAGGAACACCCTTCATGTCCCAATCAACACCAAGCTGGTAAGGGAAGGGTAATAAATAAGCAGACTTTATCCAGTTTATAGAGGTCTCTACTAAGCCGTGATAAGTGTTTAGTACCTTAGGAATCTTTGCGAAAACTTATGGCATGTTTTCAACGCAGATAGTGAGGTCGTCTGTGATAACGCTTATTTTCCACACCATTTTCAATATCATTTTTAAGGCCAAAGATGTTCAAGTTAAATTCGAAGTTGTTTAAAAGCACTTCCAAACGATCAACAAAAAGGAAAGGGGCCAAAGGACATCCCTGACGCAAGGAGTGAGCTCGTTTAGAGGATTCAGACAGATGTCCACGCAACTAAGGTAGTGGCTTGTGAATACATGGTTCTAACCCACATTCGAACATTGCATCCAAATCCCATGTGTTTCGAAGTGGTATGGACAAAAGTACATCCCACTTTCTCGTATATTTTTTTCCATATCGAGTAAAAGAAGTGACACGTCCCTTCTTTCTAACAATAATTTCCACCGCTTGAATAGCAGTAACAACATTGTTAAAAATAAACCGTCCTTTTACAAAAGCACCATATTCTTATCCGGTTAAAAGTGAAAGGTATTCATCGAGACGGACGACGAAAGTTTTGGCCCAACGTTTGTAGGTCGTATTCAACAAGTAGATTGACCGCCAATTTCTATTGTCCCTCTTATCACTTCTCTCATGCAAGACTCAAGTAATCTCTTCATCCATTCCTTTCATAATTGGTGCTCTAACGAGGACGTTATTAAACCACTTCGTTGAGACTAGGCCAATTGGGCAGGTCGTTGGGGCCTAAGGCTTAACCCTTGGTCATCAATGTTGGTACCTCGTGGAGTTTCTTTGTCGAATGGGCAAAGTTAAGATCAGGAGAAACATAAATTGGGAAAGTTTATATGAAAAGTGAAGAAAATCAGAATTTTTTTTCAAATCGATATCAGGTAAGTCATAGGTCTGACAAGTCGTAAATATGTCACTTAAATATTCATTTGCATAATCACACATGAGCAAAGTGTTTTCTAC